CCAAGAGACCCCGTTCTATTTGAACTACGGTCGGCATCCAAAGAGTCCCTTAGCTCTTGGAGTGCAAATTCGGAAGCCTTTGAAGGGCTATGACAATCCGAATGCCCGTGGCTTGATAGTGGCCATTGATAGGGCACAGCAGCCTTACTTAAGGCATACTGGTATACCCCTCGTGGAGGGCCTACCAGCTGTGACACGATTTGATCACCGTGTCCAATCAGCGCTGAAAGAGGCCAGGGCATGCTTAGAAAAAGCACGAGATAGGCAGTCAAAGCATGCGGACCACCATCGGAGGGATGTGTCGTTCAGTAAAGGAGATGACGTCCTCCTTTCGACACAGCATATTACCCTCAAACACCCTGGAACTCGAAAATTACTACCGAGGTGGATTGGGCCCTTCATCATCCTCGACCGGATAGGTCCTATCGCATATCGACTGGAACTTCTGGAAAGCATGCATAAGATACATCCGGTATTTCATGTATCAAAGATTAAGCCGTATAAGGCCAGTGGCAGAGTACAACCACCTCCAGTTCCTATCGAAATCGAAGGAGAACTGGAATATGAAGTTGAACGCATCTTGGATAAAAGAATGAAAAAGCGCGGAAGGCGCCAAAACTCGGTAGAGTACCTTGTCAAATGGCTGGGATATGGGCATGAGCATAATAGCTGGGAATCAGCAAAAGCAGTTGCTAATGCACAGGAATTGGTTCAAGCATTTGAAAATGGAAGAACTCCTGTCGTGCATGTATCAACTGATCGAAGTACAAAACGTACATGGTGAAATAAGCTCATTTGTGATTATGCCTTTGACAGGTCCTGCTGAAGTGGGCCCAGAAGCAGACTGGGTATACCGGGCCCCGTACTCGTACGCTGTTCGGACATATGAACACAATGTCCGCAGCTATCTTGAACGGGGAACGTCTGGCCACGGAGCAGCCATTGATCCAACCTCCGCGAGAACCCATCCGTGCTCGTGGGCGAGGACGAGGTCCATATTCGCGGGGTGGTCATGGTTGGGCAGTGGGTGGCCGCACGTATCGGGGTAGGGGACGTGCAGGTTAGCCTGCATGTTCCACGTCTTTCCCTTGGACGGACATAGGCCGGAAGGTTAGAACCTTGCAGCCCAAGTGCTGAACGAAGAGTTTTAATGAGGGTTGTCAAAGGCCGGCAGGTCATGTAAAACAACCACCCTTTCTCTTCACCACAGTTTGTATAATGTATGTATGATTACCATGCAAACTGGGCATGTGGCAAATCGCACAGCCAGTTGCCGTATCCATACATAATGTTTCTGCTCCTGTATCCACGCATTGGGATGAGGACGCCCCTCTCCCTGAGGGGGACGAATGTTACGCGCACCGGCCTGATGTGGGGGACGCCCTACTACTGGCTCTTGGTGTGGGGGACGCCCTGCCCAAGATAACTATCCTCAACCCATAGTAACCATTCTAGGTATTAGGATACGGGAATAGGAGGGGTGGTCCCGCCTAGGTCCCCGTAAGGACCTAGGTGCCTGGCGAGGCGGGTCCGTGGCTCAAAGAGGGCAAGAACCCCACACCCACAGACTTTATGTATCAGCTCTGCTTTTTCGCCTTCCTCATCGCCACCTCGTTCCTTCGGGCTTCTTTCTGCACCCTCAAAGCTTTGATCTCCAAGGAGGCGATCTTCTCAGCGGTCTCTTCGTCCCACTTGTCTCTCGCCTGCTTGGCTACAGCAACCGCCATTTGCTCCAAGAGCTCCATAATGCCAGGCGCCTTCAGTAGGGCCGCCACCGTACCCGGCTCTGGCGCCTCTTCTTCTGGAGCTTCCTCCGCCTCGGCCATCGGCTGGTCGCTACCTTCTAGCTCAGTTCGACCTGACGATGGGCCGGCAACGTCCTTCCGGACTTCTTTTTGTTCCTGCCCATTCCGGGCTGTAACGTCCTCACCGGCCGAACTGGTCGGCGTCCCCTTCCGGGGTGTATCTTCCTCGCCCAAAGATTTGGGTGTGCCCTTCCGGGCTTCTGGATCCGTCTCCTCAACCTCCATGGAGGAGGCCGGGGAAGGGGCCCGGTGCTCTTGGCTCGCTCATCCGCCCAGACGAAAGCGTGGCAGCCACACCCAGGTGGCTCCGAAACCAATGATACGTAAAGTGTGTGGGTGTGGGGTTCCTGCCCTCTTTGAGCCGCGGACCTGCCTCGCCGGGCACCTAGGTCCTTACATGGACCTAGGTGGGACCACCCCTCCTACTCCCGTATCCTAATACCTAGAATGGTTACCATGGGTTGAGGATAGTTATCTTGGGTAGGGCGTCCCCCACATCAAGGGCCATTAGTAGGGCGTCTCCCACATCAGGCCGGTGCGCGTAACAGGGTGGGCGTCCGCAGCCTCCCTCAATACCTGGCTGCCATTTCCATGTTGCACCAGGTGGCGGGGTATCTCCAGTTCTCGGCTTTCGACCAGGTGACCCATTTGCTCACCCGGTCTTGGCATCACCAGTGCCCGGAGCCGGCTTCCTCCCATGCTCCGGTGCCGGCGACTTTGATGCTACGCATTCTGGAGCTGGGCCTACGGACAGAAGATCTCTTCTTGCTGCGGGCATGTGTCGCTGCCTTGATTGGCTTATTTTTCTTCAACCAAACCCAAAGTGGCCATTTCATTATGTTGGATGACGTGCGAGTGGCAGACGGCATCGTCGTCTTCCAGGAGTGCAAGACCAAGCTCAAGTGTGGCACGGACCCGGCCATCCACTTACACTCCTGGCCATCTTGTGGCGCCCCCGAGATTGTCGATCTCCTCCTTCACTGGGGCACATTTTGGGATCATGCCTGGGCGGATGCTGGTGGGGCGCCGTTGCATTTCTTCACCCTCCCGGGCGAGCGCGACCCATCCGCCCGCATGGTTTCCTCATGGTTTCGGGACCTCCTGACCTCCTCGCCGGATCTGCACCCCGGCGTCTTTGATCACCACGACCTACGCGCTGGTGGGGCATCGGCCTGCTTCGACTTGGAGGTGCCTAAACAGCGCATCCGCCACTGGGGCGATTGGCGAAGCGCTGCCATGTGGCAGTACATCGATATGTATCGAATCCCATTGGAATGGGATTATCACTTCTTTGGGTGGATGACGATTACCGCCCACGACTTGCACAATAAGTATGGCCATATCTTCTGCTCCGGAGGCGCATTGTGTGTCCGAGGGTGACTGGGCACACAAGTTGTGGGTACCTCGGGTTGTATTGGGATAAACAATGGTCTTTATGATGTATTGTTCCAGTGTGTGTGTGGACATGGGCGGGACAAGGAGCCCGGCTCGGCGGAAATGGAGTGTGGCAGTCTGTGAACAATGTACACCACACTGGCTGGCGACGGCTGCAACCCAAATATCGATGGATCCTTTTCGGAAACACTCCCCATACTGAATTTTCGCAAGTCCAAAACTGGGCTACCTTTTTAAGTATCATCTAACAAGTTGCTTCGAAGTACTTGAACTGGGGTTCCCCATGGACTGTACTCCAGGGACTCCCTGGCGGGGAGGCCTTTGTGGAATTCGAACACAGAAATGACAATTCAATCCTCCCCCCGCCCCCCAAAGATTCTCCACACTTTCCTACCCTTTCTCCACCCCAGCCCCCCCTTCAGCCTCACCACCACCCCAACTCCAATTCAATGCCAAGGGTAACAAAATCGACATAACGCATGCCCTTAATCATTATCACCATCAAGAAATCTACAGTTCAGGCCGAGGACGTCCACGCTGTCCTCCGCCACGTGCTTGGCCCTGTAGCTGTCCCTCGACCTCTCCCTCGTCTTGCTTGGGCCTGCTGGCGGCCCGAATAGAGCCTCTGGGCATCGCTCGGCCAATGTAGCTGACAGTGCGGACCTCCAAGTAACCATCAACTCCCTATTGCGCCGGCCAAAGCAGTGTCCCTGATTTGTTTCACGAGGACTCAAGGTATTGCGGCAATCTAGCCACTGCGCTGCTGTGCATAAGAGCGCACAAATGCACAAAATTCGGTACGATTGATTCGTGTCCTTAGTCACAAATGATCCACCTAATCTGTGGTCACTGCGAAGCGTCATTGTGAATGCCAGTTTTTGGTTCCATTGATTGCTGCCCCGCCCAGTGCTTGGATGGCTTTGCGGCGTCCAGGACGACGACGGGCACGGGAAGCATCTCCCAGGTTCCCAAGTGAAGACAACGGGCACATCGCGCGTTCGGGCTTGACGGGTTGGCCCTCGTGGTCTCACCTTCTGCAGCAGCGTGGATCCGCAGCGCACAGGGCTGAACAGGTGGGCAATCGCGCACCTCTTGGCCAGACGTTCTTGCATGTGGCTTCAAAATTGTGCTCGTCCAGTTTGTTCACACACGTGTGGATCGCCTAGGCTTGCCTCCCCTTGCGTTTGCTGGTGCGTGCAGTCTCCTGAGCGCTGCCTTCGAACCACGCAACCATTGTCGCGCACAGAGAGTGGACAATGCATTTGGAGGCAAGTTTTCCTGCACACCCACTGGTGCAGAACTGCCCGGTCATGGCCAGTTGTGAATGGGGTCCGCCCGTGTGCCAGAATACGTCACTGCGGCAGCGCCGTCGCTGGTTGCGTTGATGAGTATCCCAGGCGTGGAGGATCGCGAATATGCCGCACCAGGAAGCTTAATATTCCAGCCGAAACTTCAACAGAATGCGACCAGGGAAAGGGAGCTTCGTTTCCCTTCTTCCACGCGCCCCTGTTCTGTTCATTTGTGCTTGGGTTTCTAGTTTTATCGAGGGCAACTGCCTTTACCTCACAAAACCCGAGGCACATACGTGTAGTGCTGGAATCTTCTCCATTCTCAAGCCGTTTGGTGGCCCTGAACGTCAAATGCACCGCGTTTCATGTGCTATGGTTATTGCTCATTGGACGTGCAGGTGTCTTTCAATAGGTGGGGGCAACTGACGCAAAGGACAGGGTGTGCGACAAGAAAGGCATTTCATGCCCTGCTGCAAGCATCACAGCCACCACAACGACAAGTGTGGGAGCCATGCTGGGACAGATAGGTGGCGCTCTGCTGACAAAACCAGCTCAAAGACAAGAAAAAGGCGACAAGGTGTGTGCATGTGGCATTACTCTTGCATTGTAATGACTCCCCGGCGCAATCCAGCTTGCTGTGCACTAGGGAAAATCGCAATCATGCAACAAAACGGAACCATCCACGAATTCCACGAAGTGCCGCTATGAATTTCATACAACAGCACGTTGTGCTGTTTGAGCTGTAGAGAAATTGAACCAATGCATTCGCTGTGCAGGCTGTAAGCAATTCATATGCTCACCTTAAAATTCTCAATTCCAGGTCACGATGGCTCAACAGCGTGAGAGACAGCTACTTCCCGGCTATACCTGGCTAAAGGATGTGCCTGCCTGCAATTTCAGGACTTGTGCATTGAGTCGGAGCACCTCTTGGAGGGCAGATCAAGAGCTGTGACATCGGGGGCATGGATTCGCCACCTGGTCTTGGCCATTGTGAGCTTGACCTGGATGGGAATTTCCAGCGGCCTTATTCTTCTCAACAAATATATAATGGTGACTGACGGATTTAAATTTCCCATGGCATTGACAGCAATGGGAATGGCATTCAGTGGATTGGCAGGTTTCTTGGCGTGCAGGTGAGCAGTGCCTTTTTCCAAAAGAATGACTTCAATTTTCTGGGATATTTAATCAGTCAGAGGACCTGAAAAGGTGTTGTTGCCCCCCTGTATGTGCCTCTGAAAATGAGTGTGTTGTGTTTTACATCGTGAGATGCTGACAGAGCAGAGGTTATGTGGCATTTTATCACTGCATATGTGTGTTTGTCTTTCACAAATGTGGGAGAATCCACCTGAATCATCCCCAATGTGTGCTTTGGCACAGGCTCAAATCATCTACCGTCACAATCCACATAGTTCCTTGTTGACCATATGCTCATTTCTCAATCTTGTTGGTCATCTGTGTTTACTTGTGGTGCTACCTGGAACAACGTCAGGGATAGCAACACTGAATTGATGTTGACAAGGACACAGCTTGGCAAATTCCTTTGTGTTGCCCCATGCTTTGGGGATCCTGAATCAGGCATGTGGCTGAACAGGGTGTTCAAGGCAGTGGCAGTGCAGTCTCCTGATGCTGTCAGCTGGAATTATTACATGATGAGGATCATGCCAATTGGATTTTTCATGGCGGCAAGCTTCCATTTTGGGAACCTTGTGTACATGCACCTGACAGTGGCCTTCATCCAGATGTTGAAGTCCTTGACGCCTGTCGTGACGATGGCTATGCTGTTCGCGGCCAGATTGGAAACTCCCACAAAATGGATGATTTACTCTGTGTTTGTGGTAGCCTTCGGAACAGGTGAGCAGGCAGGATGTTAGTGCTGACATCCTTGTCAAGAGTTGGCCATTTTCCAGCATTGTCTGTTTTGGAAGGTGTAAGTTGAGCAGACTGGAGATGGTACCTTGGCCACGTCCATTCTGGCTGGTTCAGAATGCCGATGGCTTTTGGACGGGCTGAACGCATTAGCAGAACGCCCACAGCTGTGGCTTTCTTGCTGTTGCAAGTTGTGGCTGCATTCTCTGTAGCTGATTCCCATGCATTAAGATAAAAAGGCTGAGCCAGGATGAGCAGTGCTTTTGTCTGTTTCATGCATACACCACTTCGTACTACAGTTTGCAGTTTGCACATTGGGGTCACACATGGTGTACAGATGGGACAATGAGAGTATCAGCATGCCACACTTGATGGACTTAAATCCAGGGCATCAGAATCCTGCAGAGCAGGCGTTGGCTGCTCTCTTATGTTGTATCAATTGGAAATTTGGTTTTGTGTACACTACAGAATTCAAACAATGGTGTCTGTATGTGGCTGGCAGTTGGAGTCTATATTCTCATCATGAGGACCCCCCGAGCTGGCCGTCCAGCAAGTATTGCATCTTGTCAGTTCTCCCTTGTGTTCTGTGCAGTAAGGAGACCCTTGAATTCTGTGAACTTGAAGTACTTCATAGAAGATATCTGATAAGAAGTTGTGCACAGTGGAGAGACACCCACTGCATGGGTCATTGTATCAGAATCATTAGTCAGTCCCTTGCAGTTGCGAACAAGTATTGTGGAAAGGACATGAGCGACCTGTAGTGCGCCAAATCTTACTGAAATTGCTCTTCTCCACCTCCAACAGCTCTGGCATCCTATGGCGAGGTGGGAATGTCATTCTTCGGCGTCACAGCGATGTTATTGTCCATCTTATTCGAATCCTCGCGGCTGGTGCTGACGCAATTTGTGCTGGTTGGCCTCAAGTTCCATCCTATCGAAGGCCTGATGTACTTTGCGCCTGCATGCGTCCTGTGGCTCGTTATTGGTATATACTTCTTCGAGCTTCAGGCCATGCTTGAGGCTGACGCCTTCGGATTGATAGTGCAGTCGCCGATTGCCTACATCTCAGCTTCTGCCCTTGGCTTTGCTGTCAATTTGCTGGGGTATTGGGTAATTGTGTTGTCATCGTCGTTGACACTGAAGCTCTTGGCCACGGTTAAGAGCGCAGCCCTTGTGCTGTTCTGTGCTCTTTTCTTGGGGGAGACGGTGACACCCATCGAGGCCATTGGCTACGCCTTGAGCATCGTGGGCTTCTTGTGGTACACCAAAGTCAAGACAGAGAATGATGCCAACAGTAAGTGTTGCAGCTTCCTGCCAATGGCATCCCTACAAATTGGTTATGCACTTGGGTTTCAGCGCTGTATCAGTACTTGATCATGGTTTTGCTGAATGTGCGTGTGTTTGTGTGTGGGGGGGTGGGGGTGTGTGTGGGTGTGTGACTGTGGGTGTGGGTCTGTGGGTCTGTGGGTGGGTGGGGGGGGATGGGGGGATCCCCACACAGACGCATCTGGTGTCTCATTCAGTGGCTGAAAATGTCGTTGCTTTGATTTGAGCAGAAATGAAACTGTAAGCTTTGATGCCACACTCCATGGGTTCCATTTCTGAACCTTCCCACAACTTTATGCAGGGCGCCAGAAAGAAATGGAGAAAAGTGCCAATGCAGGACTTAGTACAGATCAAGCAGATGAGAAGGCCAAAGGGTGAGCCTTAGGGCCCACGACAGGCAACGCAACGCCTTGGAATGTGCGAATTTGTGCTAGATAGGCAGGTTTTAAACAGTATAGCAATATTCTCCGTCTCTAGCGACAATGGAACAAGACTCATTCTTTGTACACAGAAAAAGGTGCGCAATTTGTAGGTTGTTTCTTCCGTTTCTTCTGGCATGTGATGGCAATGTGCATTTTGTGGTCGATCAGTCAACGTGAGAGTGACACATGGGCGATTTGGTGCGGTTGGCGTCAAAATGAAGCTGAGCTCCCACCCCATCTCACCCCACGCCACCCATCCGCAACCCCCCTTCACCCCCCTCCTTTCCACCCTCCTTTGCATAGTCCTTACGGCGATGATTTATTAGTTGGCATAGCTATGCTACACTTGACCCCTTTTGTGTAACAAAAAGCGACGTTTCAGACAATTGTGGAGCAAAACGCGAAACCAGCTGCTTGAAGTACAGTCCCAGGAACGGGACGGAGTGGCTCCCATTGAGCGCCGGCGTTGCACCGCGATCAGGTTTGCCAATTTCGTGGTCTCTTCGGTCTGATTGTGCATGGTTACAATCGCTACTGGTTTTGTTGCAAGCGCGTGCTGTTATGCCCGCATTCTGATGAGGGCGCGAGAAGAGCAAAAGGAGGTGCAAAAAAGGTGCAAAAAAGGTGCAAAAAAGGTGCAAAAAAGGTGCAAAAAAGGTGCAAAAAAGGTGCAAAAAAGGTGCAAGAAAAGTGCAAAAAGGTGTAAAAAAAGGTGCAACAAGATGCAAAAGATGCAAAAAGGTGCAATAAAAATAAAGTAAAAATAGAAATAAAAAAAGTTTGCTGTCCTGCTTTCCAGACGAGATCGTGACCCTCTGGTGGCTTATTGTGTCAGGGGTCTCAAGAAGGAGGCGCACTGTACATTGTGCAACAACTTTTCATGGACGATTATGCGCAGCAACTTACGTGCAAATTCGCGTGTCTGCCTAGAAATGAGTAACTACTCACAACGACGCCAGAGCAATTGTGCTCAGATATCCGTCTTCGACAAGTCTGATTGCGATCAACGTGGGCACTTTTTGCTGCGCCCCAAAGCCACCGCCCGCGTTTCTTCGTGGTGGGGACAATGATCGTATTTTTGTCGCGCTTTGGGTCCTTTAGCTTGTGCACACCAGCGCCAATGGCTGGAGGATTGCTTCCTGGAACGTAGTCCACCACCGATATGGCAACACGAGCTTCGGCGAGGTCAACAGGGGACCTTACGCCGCTCCCGAAGCCATCAAACCTCTTCCCTCTCACTGCCACTCGGGAGGGGATGCAGAGGGACATATGTTTGGGTCTGTGCCGGATGGGCAAATCCCAGAGGAATTAAGCATCGCCCCTAAGCTATGATAAACTTTCAAATGCAGAAGGGTAACATACTGTGGCATGTGAAGGCCACATCGCGCTTGGGTCTCATAGTTGGCTGTTACCTTAGTCAGCAGACGACGCCAGTCGACCGAACGACTCGAGCGCATGCTGCAGCAGCCGCATTCGCTGTGGAGATGCCAAACTACGAGTTTTTTTATATTTTTTTCATCTGTGGATGCCACTTTCAAACTGAACGGTAGATTGAGTTTTTGGGCTAGTCAGAGCTGTTTGGTTTTTCGTTTCATGTGTCCATTTTGAGGTAGCTGCATGTTTCGGCTCAAGAGTTCTGACCCCCTCCTTATCTTCGAGTTTGTCAAGCGCGGTAAAGCATTGCCCTTGTGTCATCTTGCAAGGAAGTGGCAGCCAATGCGAAAGTACAGCAATTTAATTGGCGGCCAGAGCAATTTCTGCTGAAAGGCCGTGCATTCGCATCCACCTGCTGCTGCCAATGTGATTTGTTGGACTGCTGCCTCCTACCCTGTTGCAAAAGCGCCGCGGCATTGCAAGGATGGCAACTACAATTCTGTTCGTCAACCAAGAGCCAAACGGGCATTGCGGCGGCGCCAGCCACCAATGTCAAAGCTGAAATGATATGATGGAAGAATGCTTGTTTCGTGTTGATGTGTACACGTGTCTGCAAGCTGCTGTTTACTGATACACCATGAACATGCTTTGGCTTCCAAGCCGCTTGGCCATCTGCCATGAAAGGCTCATGCCAAGGCAGTAATTCCCCTGAGTGCCCCCAAAGTTGAAAAGTCGTGAGGGAAGTCACAACAAGCACAGCTGCACAGTGGCACTTGAGTGTTGGATGCAGCACTCAGGGTGATATCACATCACGCAAGCAACGATCGTTTCCGCTGTGCCCCCATGCAAACTCCGCCCTGAGGAACTCCACAAACGATCGGGTGCTTGCAGATTCAAAACATACCCAAGAGCGCCGTCTCCTGAAAGGGTTGCCATGTAGAGTTTCTGCCATACCGGTCTCCTTAACACCCCCCACCCCCCACCCACCCCGTGTTCCCCGCACGACAATACATTACACTCACACAGTTTGGTGTCCATAACCTCACCAATACAAGACCCGATTGGCGACCCACATGAAAAGTGCCCCTCGCCTCGCTTCGAGTACTCAATGCCACCCTGATGGTGACTCAACCCTGAGTCAGCTTCCCCTTTCTTGTAATCAACTCCCTTTCCTTCCCACGGCAAACCGAAACTCACTCTATTAGGGTGGGCCGGGCGGGTACGAAACAAGATAAGGGGGGCGCCAAGGGTCGCGCCTAGAATAGCCGCCCGCTCCCACTTGCCGCCAAACTTCCCACCAAACCCAAGGGCCAACTTGACTGGTCCCCTTGCCTACGCCCAAGGTACACGGTTCACCCTAACTACCCTTGGATCCGTCGGGCAGAACTGACCCCAAGTATAGGGGTTGACAGAAACCGGCCATGTGATGGCCCTGCAATTGTTCCAATGGGCCGAACGGCCCAGATTGGCCTTCGCGCGCCCACCCAAAGTCGCCCTTGGCAGAAACTCATCAACAGGGTAGTTAATCATATGAATGCTGGCGATGTGTCTGTACGGAATTTTGTTGAGAGTTTGTTCTCAACATTCGTGATAATTGGCAAAAACAAGCTGGCAATAAATGGCAACATGCTGTTGCCCAAAGTGTATGGGCACAATTGTGGCTCTGAAAACAGGCACACTCTTGCAGAATCAGCCCCGCCTGGAAATCTCTATGTATTGGTGACTGTTGAAAGGAACGCCAATAGAATCATAGCTTTAGTTGTATTTCTCATTAGATTTCAATGAACCAATCACCGACTCTGCTTTGCTCAGGCAAAATAAGAAGCTGACGGCCACCTCATTGCCTTGTTCTGCAAAATAATGATGATGATGATGATGATGATGATGATGATGATGATGATGATGATGATGATGATGATGATGATGATGAAAGGAACGCCCCATCATGCGCAAAATGACGAGCAATTCCCCTCTGGAGTCAGCCAGAGAAGCAGCGACCGCACATTGCCCCCTTTCGGCCTTCGCTCACAGCCCACACTCGATGCGGAACCCGCAGTACCTTCGCCTTGCAGCAGTCCCGTCCACGGTTCGCGATTCCCTCAACGCACCACGTCATGCGCCCTCCCTTTTACCTCTCGTCGCTCCCCGTCCACTGTGACGTGCTTACTTGGGGTTAGGCTAAAATTGACATTTCTGAAGCGGCGGTTGGTCAAAAAAGTGAAATATGTTAAAATTAGCTTATTCAGGAGCTCCTGATGCCAATAGCGCCTTGAAACGTCCAATTCCGTGTAGAAACGGCGAAGTTATGGCCAGTTGAAGTTGCAGTACTTTAGCATGGGATTCGGACCGGGAGATAGAAGCATCGGGGATTATGCGGAGCTGATTTAGGTGAACGGTGGACGATGACAATGTGCCTGGACGTGCACTTGTGTTGTCTTGTCTTGATGTGACAGCGATGGACCCGCGATCGGGCATCGCGCATGCGAATTTGTGCGCGCGCATGCAGGGAATTCGTGTAACCGTTCTGGCCCACTGTCTGGTCTCTCCGCGACCAGCGAGCCACCGACTGGCTGCGCCACCACCCGCCGCATACAGCAGGCCCCGGGGGATGATCCCCATCGTTTTGGGCCCACCGCGCATCCGAGGGAACGAGCGCCCCGCTTCCGCCCACCGAAATCGGTGGAGAGGGCTGGCTGACCTCCAACAACCAAGCCGCAGGGCGTGGCGACCCCACGAGCTTCGGAAACCAGCGGCGCCCTTCAGGGCCACAACAAATTGGTTTCGGAGCTGACAGCCCGGAGCCAGAAGCTGAGCGACGGGCGCAGCATTCGAAGAGTGACCCGCAGCCTCCAAGGCTGCGATTTGAGACGCCTCCAGCACCCGCAGCGGCGGCCAGCCACAACCAACGGCTGAATCGCCGTGCCGTGAGCTGCGGTGTGCATTGAAGAGCCAAGGAAGAGCATTACCATTGGGCGATTGAGTTTGGCGTGGGCAGAAGGCGGGCGATCGCCGAATCAGCGCATCTCAAGCAGTTGCATTGCGGATTCAGCGCTGGAATTCAAGTTGCGCCAAGCGCTCTACCCGCGGCCGAATTCGTGAGGACCAGTACCCATCAGTTGGAAGATTCAGACAACCTCAGTGCCACCCACTGTAGAATAGGGGTGAAGGTCCCGCTCAAGAAGCAGGGGACATCTGCTGCTTCACCTTATTTTGCAGGTACCGCAGGCGGGTCACCACCTGACCGCTCTGCACCAAGATTGGGGGTCTGATTAGGGGAAGGGGGAGGAGATTGAGCACGGCAATAGGCAGGCCCTATTGGGTCCAGAGTGCTACCTCCTAGAGGAGGCATCTCCCCTGGAACCGGTCAGAGGGTGAGGCCATTGCCCACCTGAGGTAGACAGGCCAGTCACCCCTTCGGAACCTTGGGTGGCTGAGTCTTCAAATATTAGACAGGCTGGGGGTGCCATAGGCCAACCCAGACCTCTTACAGCGGTCTCGTCCCAGGCAAGGGACACCTTCTTAGGTTGTTCGGCTGACGCTGGGACTAAGTTTTCATTAATAGCCACAGACGCACCCTATGGA